ATAAATAATTAAATATTAAAATAATTTTTAATCATAAATATAATATAATATAATTCAATACAATCACATCTATTATCACAGCCACGACATTTCGTAGCAATCCTACCATGATCGGCGAAAACCATTGTCCCATGTGTGGGTCCTGGCTTGTCCCCACCATCTTGATTTAATAATGGAAAAGGATGGATCGATCGAGACCATCAGACTGCCAGGTGTCGTACCGCGCGATTCTCACAATTTGTATCGCGCGCCTCTATCTCTTTCGCAAGCCTTCACACGGCTTTAAGTCAACCTCCCGATATTGAGTACCTTTCTAAGTTCAGTGAAGGTCAATCGTTCTGCGTCGTTCTTCTCCACCTGGTTTCTCCCTTCAAAAGTTTCGAGATCTCAGTGGCCCTCTGTGAGTCAGTGCTCATGGATGGCTTTGGAAAACCGAATTTCTTAGCAGACGAAGAGGGGAGCAAGGCCGCTCCCGCAAGTCCCAACTTGCCTTTCATCTGTTAGTGTCTTCCCTTGAAGTTTATTTTAGCAAAGAGAATCTTAAAATTGACGATTAAGATCGCTCAAGGAAATTCATTTCCTTGAATGCAGCAGCTCGTCGTGAGATGCACAAGATCGCTCGTCCCTATAGTCAATTTGTTAATGTGGCTACTCCACCTTTGATGGTATTCCAGTCCACACGCTAAATGATGTTGTGGTCTTTCCCATATGCTTTTGTAATTTAGACATTTTGTTTGTTTCTTCTTTAATGATGCAATTTTTCATGCCTAAATCCGTTGCCCGTATTTGTTCTTCGTTAGTGCTAAATGTAGTTCTGGAATGATCACTTGAAGCTAAGGCACACCGAAAAGAAGAAAAGGAAATGAATGAATTGCGAGCTAAGAAATAGCTTAATTTGAGTGAGAAATACTAATTTTGTGGATCTCCTATTGATGATTTCATTTGTATTATGAACTTGTGAACTTTTTGCAGCGTGGGATGAAATCTTGGAATCAGTGGCGGGTGCCACGAGAGAGCTTAGCAGACAGCAAAGTGGCCACCTAGGTGGAACTAATAGGGATGCAGAAAGGGCTTTGAGGAAAAGGCTAAATGACAAAAGATACAGAGCAAGGTTGAAGGTAGTGCTGCTATCTCTTTTATTTTGAATTCTGATTGTCATTTAATTTTTGTCTGCATGTCTGGTGCTGTGATTTGTACTCTGTATTTGACACCTTTGCTTTTATGTTTTCAGGAAGACAAATTGCAAATGAAAAGCAACATGTATTCACTTTATGCTGAGAATGAGAATGTGAAGAAAGAGAATGAAAGGTTGCAACATGAACATGTTTCGATGAATGAAACTTTGCAAGCTCGAGCAAAATTGATAGATCAGTTGAAAAGTGATCTTGACAAATTGAATGACGAGTATAAGAAGCAAAACGTCCTTGTGCAAAGACTCTCAGAACTATTAGTAAGCCGCCTCCCTTTTCTTTTTGAAAGCACCTTATATTTCTTAATTTTTGTGATACTTATGTATATTCAATCTCATTTAAAATATAGGTCATGTGTGTTTCTTAAGTTAAATTGGTTTAAATATCTAGTTTTCAAGTCAGGAGTATTCTTTCAGCTATTGTAGACACTGTTTGCTTAACCAGGAAATCTAGACCAGGCTGATAATTGATTTTAGGCTGGATATAATGCTCAAATGGTGTTTGAGTCCACTCGCTTTTTCTAGTATGGCATCAGAGTCCTTATTTCCTGTTAAAGCCTCTTTGTTAGCCCATGTGCATGGTCCAATAGGAAAGTGTGTCAAAGTTTAATTGGTTTTAGGTTTGATCTGATATGCTGTCCTAGTCCACTTGCTTTCTAACCATTGACATGATGCATAAATCTCGAATATGATGGGCTTGAAGGGTGAACCTGATGCATAATTCTCTAGTATGAGTCAGACTTTTAGACTGATGATTGGCTGCTGTTTTTATTTAATATTTATACGTATTCATTCTTTCTTTATAGGCATCCTGCCCTGACCTCCAGCTGGAAAATGAAAGGCTTAAATTAGAAAATGGTCAATTGAGATATAATGCAAGTCTGGATTATAGCATGGGGATTGCAGAGGAGAATGTAAAATTAAAACTTGAAAATAAGGTACTCAAAGTGCAGAATGATGCTTTGTGTGGGAAATTAATCAGTGACAGTGACAAGAAGCTTGCATGAGAATTGGCAGGATGAGCTACCACTAGTATATGTGTCATGTTAATTTTGTTTCTTACTTTTTTTTTTTTTTCGTACGTCGGATAATAAGTTATATGATAGGGGATAGCCTCTCCCACTTGTTCCAAGATTTGAACTTAAGATCTCTAACATGGAGATTCGAATTCTTAACCATTGGGACATTCCCTAGGGAACTTTATTTCTTACTTGTATTCTCATTTGCTAAGGGCTTCGTAGCACCACTGAATGTCATATGATTTTTTTTTTTTTTTATTACTCATCTTTTGATCTCACTCTCTTGTCAAAGCTCCTTGCCAAGCATTGTACATGTTTGTCTCCAAACGTCAAAAGTCATAGAGATTAGAAAACAGAGTAGGCTGGAAAGCAATACTTCCGATGTATGCAAGTTTGCCCTTTGGATTATAGTTACTGTCTGGCTGGCTATAATTTTGTCATACACAAGTAGCGTTGCTGTGATTTGCACTTATTGCTAACATAATTAATCTAAATACTGAGTTAATGGTTATGGATGAGATTTGATAAATTACAATACAAAAAGAAAATAGTTGGCAGTGAAGACAGAAGCTTTATGTGATAAAATTAGTGACGATTGCCATGAACAAGGACTTTATCCCCATCATTAATTGCCTATAGTGATATGTTCCTTGTTCGCTTTATCATCAACCAGACAAAAATAGGGTATTCTCAGAGTAGCTGCAGACACTAATTTTGTTGATTGACAATGATAATACTTCATTTAAGATGGTACAACTCTTTAACATGCATTGCAAATACAAAGATCATCAATCTGAAAATATGTAAGGGATCAGTCCTACTCTGTACAACCTCTGCACATACTGCAGAACCCACATCCCCACACAAGCATCTGATCAAACACCTGGTATGCATGGCCAAAATAAGCTCATGTCTTCCATTCTTTATTGCCACTAATCCCCAACATCAAACAAACATGGCCAGCACTCACATGAATAAAGACTATTGGAACACACAACAGATTATTCACTGCACAAAGCCAGTTGAAGCAACTCAACAATGGTAGGTTCAGTATAGCAATACAATATTAAGTTATCTGCATCCAGTTCCTCATAGCATAAACTCCTCCCTTCAGTTGGTTAAGCATTGATTCCATCTCTTCCATCATCGCTTTCGCCTCTGCCAATTGTGCTTCATGAGACTTGTCTCTTCTTTTTCTTACTTTACCCTGGCTTCCATCTTCGTGAAAGCGGTGTTTGCAAATAGTGAATCGTTAGGCCATCCTCATCAAGATTGTCGGGTCGCGCGCCTCTATTTCTCTCGCCATATACAAGTCCTCGCACGATTTTAAAGTAAAATGCCCGATGTTGACTACCTTCGTCGATCCAATGAAGATCAATCGTTCTGCATCGCTCTTCTCCACCTGGTTTTCCCTTCCATAAATACAACTCATTTGCGACATTCAAACGGAGGCTCTCTACGAGTCGGTGCTCATGGATCATGATTTCGGAAAACAGGGTTTCTTATCGGATGTGGATCTGGGAAGGGTGGCCCCTCAAATCCAAACTTACATTCCCCTCGGAAGTGTCTTTCATTGAAGCTTTTTTTTTTTTTTTTTACTATAGCAAGAGAATGTTCAAAATTAAAAATTACTAATCACTCAAGATCCTCCTTACTTTTCGTTTTCCACCTTCTGTGGTATTTGAGTCCTCACGGTTAGACATTTTGTTTGCTTCTTTTTTCCATTTTTAGCTATCGAAAACTATCATATATTAAATTGCATAACAGAAAGCATTACATCCCACATAGTTTCTTCTAATAAACATGAAACGGAATAGATGAGCAACCGAATAGATGAGCAAATAAAGACAAAATAGAAATAGCTGGTAACACCGCTGCAGCCCAATCAAGAAGATGGGGCCTCTCGTAACCTTCCGGAGTTGCACATCTTCTTCTCCACAGTAGCTATCCAGAAGCATTTGCACCTCATCACTGGGTTAAAACTAACTTTTAGCTCCTTACTTTATAAAATTAATAGATTTTAACCCTTAACTTTATAATATGACATTTTTAGTCTTTTACCTTGCAAAGTTAGTAGGTTTTAACTTTTAACCCCTTATCTTACAAAATTAATAAGTTTTAGCTCATCACCTTATTATGATACTTTTAGCCCCTTATTTATATGAATTAAAAAAAATAACTCTCACTTAATATCATGTTATAATGTTCTGTTAGTTCTATTAGTTCTATTAGTTGACTATCAGTTTTATTAGCTGATTGTTAGTTCTATTAGCTGACTGTTAATATTTCGTTAATAGAATTAGCAAATAAAATTGAATTTAAATTTCATGTTTTCTATAACGAAATGCTAATGGATGTTAATAGTCAGCTAACAGAACAAATATAATGTTATAACCTAATATTAGGTGAGAGTTATTTTCATAAATTCGTATAGGTGATGGGTTAAAAATGTCATAATATAAAGTGAGGGTTAAAACTTACTAACTTTATAAGATGAAGGGCTAAAATCTACCAATTTTGTAAAGTAAGAGACTAAAAGTTGGTTTTTGCCTCATCACCATACACATAACATAGAAGAACACAGCAAGTATAGTCCAGGAAATCAATTAGGGATTGCTGCATTAAAATTCTAATCCACATCACATGAGCACCTTGGAAACAGCTTGCAACTATCACTGCAGCCTTGGAAGGCAAAGGCCAAGCTACTTCCTTAAAAGTATGAACTCCATAACAGCAATCCCCAAAGCGTCCAGCCCTGAAGTGAAGAAGTTCTGCCTGCTACAACAGAAAAACCCTCCAAGCCATGACTTAGGGTAGATTACTCCCCAGAGTTTCACACGAAAAAGTAGCCAACCTAATAGCTTCCCAATTAAAACTAGCCACACAGACATCAACAAGAACTGAACATATATATATATATATATTGTAAATTTCCACTTTTGACACACAACAACATACTTTCGATTTTTAGTAAAAGATGACACAAAAACAAGAGAATATAGAGGAACAAAACAAACTATTTTCGGATATATCCTCTGAACTCCAAAACCACTAAAACCCTTATCCAAACTATCGTCATCCTTGAATAAACCATACTTTAGCAAACCATCATCAAGCATATTAGTATTCCTAACAACTGCCATAAACTTTCCATTCTTAAATTCCATTACTGTAAGATAAGCTGAGAGTAAGGGAACAACAACATCCATGGTACTCATAGTCATGGTAACCTCAGAATCCTTTCTCAGAAGATACACTTCCATCCTCCCAAAATACTATAATTATAAGAGACTTATGATTAGCCCAGAAATTACCATGAAAAACACCCCTAAAACTCTAAAGCATGGAAGAAATTTCTAAATGAGGAGAGACAAACTAAGAATACCATGTTGGAACAAGCAATTAACTATACGGATCATAATCTCGGCAATTATAAACACTAAATCCCATTTAAAGATGTTCCGCACACTTGGGCCAAGTGGTTCGCCACTTGGCTGAATTAGTGGGAACACCACTCCGGGTTGAATGTTCAACTTGATCCTTTTCCCAATCCTCCCTTAGTATGGTCAGTATAATTGTAATTTGTTCAAAAAAAGATCTCATTTACATTCTGTTTGGATTGAGAAAATTAAAAGGAAATGAGACGAGAGTGAAAAAGAGGGAGCACACTTTCTTATTTGGACAAATGATGGAGGGGAAGGAAATTAAAGAAAACGGAGTCCTCTCCCCACTTCTATTTTTAATTTCTTTCATTTGAAGATATTGGAACAGATTACATTATGAACCTTTTGCAGATACTTATGGGATGAGTGGTTAACTTTTGATTCAGTGCCCAATTCACTCATAACTACTAGTGAACAGGCCAAGGCTCTCAGGAAAAGGCTAAATGACAAAAGATACCAAGAACGATTGAGGGTAGTTAAGGGTGGCAATTAGCCCAATTCGTGGAGCCGTGGGGATTCCATCGGGGATGCGGGCGGGAAAAAATATTTCTTCATGTAGGGTGAGGACTGGGATATTTTTTCTCGTCGAATTTTATAGAAAAATTTTCCCACCATGCGGGCCATGAAATCTCCATTCTCATAAAAAATTTTAAAAAATATATATTTTAATTAATTTTATATTATATTTAATTCAATATATTCTATCAATATATAATATATATTTTAAAATTAAACTCAATCTAATAAAAATTAAGTTTAACTCAATTCTACTTAATTTAACCCATCAAAATTAACTCAACCCATCCGTAGTCAACCCTAACCTCACTCATCTCATCACTCTAACCTTTCCTTCCCCTTGCTGCCGTCGGCACTCAAGAATCTCAGACTCAGCTCAGCTGCTCAACACCCATTCTTTCAATCTTTCTCACTTCTAGTTTCTCAAAATCTCACTTTCAGAATTCAGACTCTCTCACCTTTCATTTTTGCCGTTCTCCCAACCCTGTAACCCTAAATCCCTCCATTGCCGCTACTGATCTGCTGGAGCTGCTGCCGGAGCCGGACTACATACTGCTGCTGGAGTGGACTGCTACCAGACTACACTGCTGCTGCCGAATCCATCTGGACTGCTCTTATCGAACTCGAAGCCATTTCTATTAGTGAATGTTTACGAGACTAAATGATTGAAACACACAATAAAGGATTGAAACACAATAAAAATTTAATCTTTTTCTCTTCCAGGTAATTTAATCTGTTCACGATTCTACTGATGAGTTTGTTGTATTTTTGGATTTTTTGTTAAATGAATTTTTAAGGCAAAATTTGGGTTAGATTTAGATCTTAAAAAACATTAGGTGTGGGCTCTGGTTTCGTTGCTGTGAAGCTTTCATTACTGGCTACCTTTTGTGTTTTTGAAGGCTTAATTCATTGCTCTCAGTTTGGTACTGTTTGGTTATTTTTGGTTTTGTCAGATCACAATTCAGTTCTATATATTAAGCTGTAATCTCTTGGTTTGATATATTGGGAATCAAAAATTGGGAATTTTGAGTAGGGTTTGTAATGTTTATGCGAAGATGGTGAATTTTGATTATATGGGTGTTTTGCTTGAAAAAATCAGTGGCTTTGTGGTTTTTGTTTGCATATACATATAACATAGAAAAGTGTAGTAGCTTCTTAGCAAAATCAAGAAATTGAGAAAAGGAAATTCTTTCTTTCCTTCACATTAATTTTTGATTTCCTTATTAGAAAACAGTGAATGCCTGCCTGTCACCTGTCCAGGAGAAAACAGAAAAGTGAAACTGTGAAAGGGAAGAATTCCCATTAACTAGAGAAAAGTTCAAAGTGTATTTTTTAATGACTAATTTGGTATGAGAATCTATTTTATATTTCAATGTAAGGGCATAACTTTTTTTAAAAATTTATTTTTAGGTTATAAATGTGTAATACATAAGAAGAGAGTGTTGATCGATCATTTATATTTGGGCAATTTATGTTTAATTTTACATTTAAAGAATTTTAGTTAATTGTACTTGAATTTTCAGAATTTTATTCATTGTAATTGAATATTAATTAATTATATGTAAAAAAATTATATTTTGATATTAATTGTTGGGGAATGGGGATGGGGGCCCCTGTCAAAAATCCCCGCGTGGATACCCATCCCTGCCATTCATGGGGACAGGGATGGAGAGGGACTCCCCAGCTCTGCAGGCCCCATTTTCACCCCTAAAGGTAGTTAGTGTTATCTCTATTATATGGAATTCTGATTGTCATTTAATTTTTTTTCTGCAAGTCTGGTGTTGTGATATGTACTCTGTATTTGACATCTTTGCTTTCATCTTTTCAGCTAGACAAATTGCAAATGAAAACTGACATGGAATTACTTGATGAGGAGAATGAGAATTTGAAGAAAGAGAATGAAAGGTTGAAAAGTGTACATGATTTGATGAATGGAACTTTGCAAACTCAAGCAAAGTTGATAGCTCAGTTGAAGGGTGATCTTGACATATTGAATGATGAGTATAAGAAGCAAAATGTCCTTGTGCAAAGGCTCTCAGAACTATTAGTAAGCGCCTTGAAAGTACCTTATTTCTTAATTTTTGTGATACTTATGTATGTTCAGTCTCATTTAAAATATAGGTCATGCAAATTGGGCATTTGAGTTTCAGCACAAGACTTGCGTTTAAGTTAAAACCAATTAGATATATCATGTGAAAATTGTGTGCATGTGGACTTAAACACAAGGTTTGCATCCATCCTAAAACTAATTGATGATATGTGAAGTAGCCCTCTAATTTGTATTTAAGTCACAGATGTTTCCTATTGTACTTGGATGTGAGATTTTACCACTTAACATGCAAGCTCGGTATGAACTTCAAGTCCTATCATGCAACTTAATAAGTTGTGTATGTATCTTAATTCAAATTGGTTTAAATATCTAGTTTTCAAATCAGGAGTATTCTTCTGAAGTTAGAAACTCATTTCAGCGATTGTAGACACTGTTTGCTTAGCCTGGAAATCTAGACCAGGTTGGTAACTGATTTGAGGTTGGATATAATGCTCAAATGGTGTTTGAGTCCACTTGCTTTTTCTAATATGGCATCAGAGTTCTTATTTACTGTTAAAGCCTCTTTGTTAGCCCACATGCACAGTCGAATAGGATAGCCTGTTAAAGTCTAATTGGTTTTAGGTGTGATCTCATATGCTGTTTGAGTCCACTTGCTTTCTAAACATTGGCATGGTGCATAAATCTTGAGTATATATGATGGGCTTGAAGGGTGAACCTGATGCATAATTCTCAAGTACGATTCAAACTTTTAGACTGATGATTCACTACTATTTTTATTTAATATTTATACATATTCATTTTTTCTTTATAGGCATGCCCTGACCTCCAGCTGGAAAACGAAAGGCTTAAATTAGAAAATAGTTAATTGAGACGTCATGCAAGTCTAGATTATAACATGGTGCTAGCAGAGGAGAATGTAAAATTGAAACTTGAAAATAAGGTACTCAGAGTGCAGAATGATGCTTTGTTTGGGAAATTAATTAGTGACAGTGACAAGAGGCATGCATGAGAATTGGCAGGATGAGCTACCATTAGCATATGTGTGTCATGTTAATTCTATTTCTTACTTTTTCTTTTTGTACATTGGATGATGGGCTATATGACAGAATATAGCCCCTCCCCACCTGTCTCAGGATTTGAACTTAAGATCTCCAACATGGAGATTCGAGATTTTAACCACTAGGACATTCCCTAGGAGACTTTATTTCCTACTTGTACGCTCATTTGCTATGGGCTTTGTAGCACCAGTGAATGTTAAATGATTTTTTCTTTGATTACTCATCTTTTAATCTCAGTCTCTTGTCAAAGCTCCTTGCCAAGTAAAGTATTATACATGTTTGTCTCCAAACGTCAAAGTCATAGAGATTGGAACAGAGTAGGCTGGAAAGCAATACTTCTGATGTATGCATGTCTGCTCTTTGGATTATAGTTACTGTCTGTCCGGCTATAATTTTGTCATACACAAGTAGAGTTGCTGTATGTATGGTACTGTGATTTGCAGTTATTGCAAACATAATTAATCCAAATACTGAGCTAATGGTTATGGATGAGATTGAGAAATTGCAATGCAAAAAGAAAATAGTTGGAAGTGAAGACAGAAGCTTTATGTGATAAAATAAGTGACAATTTCCATGAACAGGGATTTCATCCCCATCATTAATTGCCTATGGTGGTATGTTCCTTGTTCACTATATCCTCAACCAGACAAAAATAGGGTATGCTCAGAGTGCAGGAAGATGCTTTGTTTGGGAAAATAATCAATGACAATGACAAGAAACATGATGTAAGTCTAGCATGATAAGTTTCCATTACTCAAGTCAATATCTAATGTGATGTATTTCTCTTTTCCTTTTTCTGGTTTGTACACTCAAATCAATTCCTTGCAACATGCTTCGTATATCCACAAGAATTTATGTAATTTCTTGCCTTGCTTGTTCACTGTCCATCCCACTCTTCAAGTTCCTTGTACGTGTTTTTGCAGAAAGTTGAAGTCATGGAGATTAAGAAACAGAAAAAGGTAGTAATTTTTCAATGTGAAATTGAAGCAATAACTCTGATGCAGTATTAGATTATAATTATAGTCTGTATGGCCTTGATTTCAGTAGTATATCACTCTCTTCTCGCAATATCTGCATTATTATTATGTATATGTAGGTAACGTGATTTGGAATTAATGTGAACATAATCTATCAGAGTTGAGATTAGGATGAGAAAGTATAGTGGGAAAAGAATATAAGTCAAAGGAAATGCAAATGTTCTTTATGTCATAACATGGTAGACGACCATGAACAAGTAGGGACACATCCCCATTATTAACTGCCCATACATTGTTATGTTCCTCATTAATTTTATGCTTAACTAACAGAAACTGAGAACAGAGCATCCAGTTGTTAATCCAGAAACTAGCTATATTAAATTGTTGATGCTGTGCTTGAAAGACGGGATGACAACTTCCACCATGTAGCCAACATTTTGTCTGTAAAAGGGCGCAGAGAATCAATTTAATTTGTGGTGCTAACTGAGATGTCTGAAATCATGATGTAATGCCGTTCCATCTCCAGTTCATATGTTTTTTTCTACTTCTGGGTTTGTCTCTTCATATTAGGAAAGCGACATTCTTCCAACTATAATTATTATCTCTCCAACTACTATGAGATACTCCCATATCTTTGTGTGTCCTATTTGTTGTGGTCTATATGAAAATGTCTAATCTCATTTACTAAGACTTTGGAGGAGTTAGCGCGGTTTTTAGTGTCCATCGAGGGGTGGTTTGGATGCGCGGTTTTTAGTATCCGCGCGCGTGCGCGGGTAACACTCTCAACAACCACGCGGTGGCGGCCTTCATCCCCTAAGCCTCACTCCCACTCCCACAACTATAAATTAGAACTGCGGTATCCTTTGCACTAGGCATAGCTCGACTCGACTTTTCTCTTTGTTGGATCAGGTGCGAGATTCTTCTCCTCCTTCTTTCTTTTCAGTGTCATATAGCTCTTTTACGTTCTTGAATTGGTTTTTATGTTCTGCTCCTATCTCTTTAATATTAGTTCACGCTCATGGATGAGATGCTCTGTGTTGCCTTCTACTGTTTCGTTTACTGATTCTCCTTAATAAAATGATGTAAATGGGAAATTCTGGTTTGATGTGTCAGGAATGTTCTGAATTTGTTTCAATTCTTTTGTATTCAAAGGGTAATCTCTGTAGGTAGAGTAAGCTTGTGGTTTGTGGGTTTGAGTATGGTACTTTTTACATGCAATTTAAGATCTAATGCTACTTGATTGCAGCAAATTGAATTCTTTCCACTGCTGTTTTATCGAAGAGCTGAAATCATGGCGGTGGGGATAGAGAAGAAGGTGCTTCTGGTAGTTTGATCTCTTCCCCTATCATGGCTTGAATCCTGTTTTTCATGCAAACAACACATTTCCTGTTTCTCATGGTCATGTTTGGTTGAGCAAGATTCAAGCCACACCTTTTTTTTCAATAGCCCTTTTTTTTTAAACTAAGATTTTCACTTAACTTTTTTTTTTTTTTTTTTTAATTTTTGTGCACTACCAATTTAAACAATTTAGAAACTGAAAAAAAGGGTGACTCTGAAATGGCCAAGATTGGTAGCCAGGCAAAGAGCAGAGCTGAATCACGCAAGAGAGTGTCTGGAAAAACAGAAGGCAAAGGTGAAACGGAAAGAAATCAAATGTGCTAAAAGGAGAACGAGGAATGAATTCTTCTGGAAGGAGGATGCATGCATCCGACATGGTATTGATCTTACCCTTGGTATCCTAGATGCAGAAGATGAGGGTGACTTTGTCAGAGCTGATCATCTTAGGCAGTC